CGGCACACTGCACATGCCCCCAGACGAGGGACTCCGGCGGCGCACCGTCACACCATACAGACGGGTGACTTCCGCGGCACAAAACCGTCACAACAGTCCAGACGGAGGCCGGACTCCGCGGCACACAGCCAATGCCAGTCCATACGGATCGTACGACTGCACACTTTCACACACACACAGCCCTCCAGACGGAGCGCACCCCGCGGCACACCGTCACAGCCAGTCCAGGCGGAGCGGACCCCGCGGCACACCGTCACAGCCAGTCCAGACGGAGCGGACTCCGCGGCACACCGTCACTGCCAGTCCGGACGGAGCGGACCCCGCGGCACACCGTCACAGCCAGTCCAGACGGAGCGAACCCCGCCGCACACCGGCCTGCCGCCGGAGGGTCGTACTTGGGTAGAGTCGAGATGCACCCATTGCGCACGCACTGACGGGCTGACGGGCGGGCACCATGGGTGCGTACCTGGTTGGAGTCGAGGTACAGCTCCTCGAGAGTGCGCTCGAAGGTGAACACCTCTCCGGGCACATCGCGCAGTGAAGTGTGCCGGTAGTCGAGCTCGTGCACCTCTTCGGCCCGGGCTCGGAAACAGCCGCACAGCCCCAGCATCTGTCGCAAGGCGGCCAACAGCGCACTGAGTGAGTAGATCAGAGCGATGGTGGCCGATGATTCCTATGGCATGTGATCTGAGCTTGTCTCGTTTAAACTAGAACTAGAACTGGGCAACCAGAGAGTTGTATTAGCATTGAAAGAGCTCACAGGCACCCTTTCTTGCCACTGAGCACAAACAACAATGCTGTTTGTTATGCTTGAAGATTTAAAGCATGGCAGTGGGAGGGAGTAGGTTTTTCTGCCAATGCAATAGTCAGAGTTTCGGATAAGCACAAACCTCCAAGCTCTGTCACATTTATATGCGCAGGTTTAGATGAAGGGTACAGGCAGGACAGCTTCCAGCCTTTGCAGAAGTTGTTCAGGTGCGTGCGGATGCTTGATAGAATCATCTTAGGAAGCATCAATGTCTGAGCCCCAATTTGAACAAGCAAAGGAGTGGCATGTGACAATTGAAAACAATAAAAAACATAATCAAGGCAGTCATAATTTGTACATGCATACAGAAACATGCATAAAATGTATGAGACACATAAATTACTGGTAAAGAATGGACCAGAAAAGTACAACATGTTTATTCAGACCACAATCCCATCTCATAGAAACAGTTTTTTGCTGATCTTGGGGGAAAATGTCATTGTAATATGTGAGAATCTTTTAACCATTAAGCATCTCTTTGGCAGAGATTGATACATCATTGCCCATATATCATCAAACCAGTTACTAACAGTAGTTGCATGCTATAATGCAACTTAAATCTCATAACTTGCGTAACACTGGCATTTGTAGGCAGCTTGGTATGTACACTATACATCTGCAGCACACAATGTCCAGCCCAAGAAACTGTAAAACCAGCAAAGTTCCTATTGCATGTGGTGGTTTGCTTGAAGTTTGCAGTGCTTTGGTGCAAGTGCTAGCAATTAACAGTGAAATGCTCTACTCTGCTGTTGTGTGTGGATTATCTGCCCACATAAGGAGGGTTACACTACTGCACATTACAACACTTATTTAACCATGCTTCTGTTGGTCATCACAGTGAACTGTAAGGTAGATTTGAGCCATTCTAGCTAATTTGCTCTCAAGCAGATCTTTACAGCAAACAAGGTGGTGAATGAACATCACATACCACTAAATAGGTACATATCAAGTTGCCTGGCTGAGGTCTGATATTCTAGAGAGCTAAGGGCCAAATGTCACAGCCTAGACTGCAGCTAATCAGAAATACCCCAAAAGGTGATTCTCTACTTCTTCTTTGTTAGCAGCCACAGAAGGTTCATACCCATGCCTGGAATGATGTGGTTGAATGTGAAAGGGAACACTGCTTGCACATACCAGCACTAAGTCCTGCATAGCAAAATTTATCCTGTAGAATATGCAGGATGTAAACATAAATTATATGCCCAAACCTCCAGCTCCCAATCAGCCACTGAACCCACACATCAGCCACTGCTAATCTGCTGCCCTTTGACCCCAGCCTTGACATCTGACCTGCCCAGCCTGATTGCTGAGCCTGAGGGATCTGAATGCTGGGTTAACCTCTATCTGGCTCAATGGTGACTGGCTCATCTTGAATGATGGGAGGAACAACAGACAGCGAATCCAGGGCTGGGATATGATAATATGAGCAAATCTATACATCCCTGTAACTTTCAACGCACATATCTTATACTTTATTATTATAACCTATTCACATGGCCTATGCATCTAAGGCACAGCATGGGCAGAACTAGTGGTGCTCCAATTTTTCTTCTAGAGATGCATGCCACTTAGCTTATAAACTTTCTGAATAGATATATGCCAATTAATTTGGCAAAATGTAAGCTAAAAAAATATTTCTCTAACTGCATTTCGACTAGAATATCAATTCTGTAACCAGCTTGGAATGCTTTTAGAGATTTGTCAAGGACCAGCATTCAGCCTACATTTATGCCCATGCTCAAGCAAGACTCAAGATCCAGTATGGAGTTAAGGACACCAACAAGAACTGTGATCTTACCTGCAATTCTTGGCTACAAAAAGTGTATGCATGATGCACACACACACTTATACAGGTTTCATAAGTATCTACTACAGAATGGACAAGGATATCTTCTTTTTCAAGTAAAAATATCCATCAAAAGATAACTGACAAATTTTAACATGTGCTGGTATTTAAATCTAAGCCCATTTGAGCTAGAAACCGCAATTTAGAGTATGGTGAGTGAAAAAAGTGAAAAAAGGATCTGCTAGTCTAGCATTCATGGCAAGTCAATGCTAGCCAGGAATCAGGCCCCAGCTTTAAACAGGAAGCAGTGGAAACCAGGAACCAGGGCCTAGCATCCATTTACATTAGAACTTAAGGCAGTCAAAAACCAGAACCTTGCATTTATAAAAGAAGCAGTTACCAGCAGGATCCAGAACCTCACCCTCATAAGTGAAATTTGGAACCAGAAACCAAAATTTATAACTAGGCATATCCCTGCCAGCCAGCTTGGATGCATGCTGTACACCTCTTCATGTCACTCTACATCTAAGGGATGCCCTGTGCTGTTGAAATTGACTACAAAACATAATTGATAGTTGGATCACACAGATGTAACACAGGGTATAATCCATATTCAGAGCACAGTAACTAATGGTCCACTCAACAGCTCATAGAAAATGGCTGAAACCATTTTATTAAATGGCAAGGACCCATAACACTCCAAAATCCCCATCACTGACAGGGAATAGGACATCACATTAAAAATGCTCCAAGGCCTCACTGCAGCCTAATCACCTTCAAGACTCTGAAATTCTCAAACCGCTGCATAGCGCTCCTCGCAGTTCTGTTCACTGCCTGCCCTGAGTAATGTTCCACTTGAGCAACCATGCATGAGTTTGACGAACCCGTAATTACGGGTGCAACGAGGACATTTCCAACATCAGTTTCAAGGCAGCAGCACACTCCACCAGAAACCTACCGCTGAAGCATCAAAGTTTCCGCGCTTCTGTAACCATAGAGTAGATAATACGTTGTAAGCCAATTCAATATGAATGGACCGTGTGAACCGCCCTCTTCTCCCCTCCCGCAACTCTCCCTCGGTCGGCTTGGTGGTAATCAACCGTCATATCCTGACGATATTCTGGTTGTATGTTAAGCGCCATGATTGCCGAGAAACTGAATCTAGTAGCTTTCCGGTAAGTCAGCCAAATGCTGGTCCCAAAAATTGTTCGTGAATATAGACGATAGCCATCTATGCTTTACCAGCTCTAATATTTAGATTACAGGATAAAACGTGTAGGATTGAATCCCGTGTTTACCCTTTCTGCGCTTTTGTTGTTTTTAAACTAGCGCGTAGCAATTGATAACTAGATGTTTACAATTTGAAATCAATTTTTGTTTGACCTTGAAAACAAAACCTGTTTCATGGACTCGATGTGCTCAATCTATGGACATAAGCCAACGAGGTTCTCCCAAATGTCGAAATTTGTCACATTTCCAGTTTAGTACTTATGTGGAAACTGCGCAGGCCATAGAACATTAAAAAAAATACTCAAGTGACACATTTAGATATGGAAGCGTTTTCGCCATTTGTCAGCCTTGATATAAACGTAAATAGCGTCTTTGGCAACGCTCACACACTTGTTTAGTGTGAATGGATTACGATGTGTGTAGTGTGATGGGTGGAGCGGATCGCTGGCAGGTAAATGGACCGTAAATAAATTGAGACGAAGAACATTCTATAAAATTTGGAAAAGTTCCCAGCCTCTTCGAATACAGGCACAATGCCCACCCACCTACGTAGCATCAAAACGAAATGAAATTTATCTCCGGTCAGTGGTGCAAGCGAGGCTACCCAACGTGCAGCATCGCTCAGTTTGGGCATCGTTAGGCTGTAGGCGATTGGCCGGCTCTGGTCTCCGGCCTGAGTGGGATGATTTATCTACTCACAATTTTGTGTTGCAGTGAACAGGATGAGGTGCTGAGTTTGTGCAGCTGCATGACTGGTGACCTGCCCAGCATCCACTACGCCTGGTACTGCCTGTGGCTCCCAGCAAGAGTTGACAGTACAGTGGATATATTCAGCAGAGAAAGAAGATTAATTTAGAATGTTTAATATAAAGAATATTGTGAAGAACATCACAGATCGGGTATGTACCACCCACTTAATCCACCAGCATTTAGTCATGTTGGTCTGCATGCCTCAGAGAACATTTACAAGGTGCTTGGAGAAGTCAATTCCTAATGCATGAAACAGCACCACCTTTCCAATGGGTTTTGTTGGTGTCTACCTTAATTTGTGGATATGGCCCCATTGACAGTGGAGAAGTTGACAGGAAAGAGTGGCAATGGCCAGGCTTTTTCAAATATTTAGAAATGTATTTTAGTCCCTGCAACTCTTGTTGCTTTGCCCTGTCCACTTACCTGCTTCAAGGAAATACAAGATCATGCAATGTCACTATGGAAATCCTTGCATGTTGGATAGTCTGTACAGTAAAAAAGGCTTGATGTTGGCATTACCAACAATATTCTCAATAAGCCATGCAGGCTTAATATACTTATATGCTGAATTATCAGATTCTGTTTGTGTAATTATTCTGGATGTTATATATAATTCATGGTACATAAGTTTAAACTATGCCATGTGTCAGTAGTCCAAGACATACAAGCTGCATTCTGCTGACAATGCCAAGTTGTGCAAGCTCAGCCTATATGCATTAGTAGACCTCGTGGCATTGTTTTCTGGACATTGTGGTAAACCTCTTGAATGCATTGGTAGACCTTGTGGCTACTGATGCCATTGGAGCACCACATGCTGTTTTAACCTATGCAATGTTCTATTTTGTGGAAATGTGTGAATTCCTAAAGAATGATTTGGTAAAAGTTTGCAGGCCCATGTATGATGTCAGGCTGGCAATGGCAATGCATATAATTTTAGTAATTCATCCTTGTTCAAATATTAACCAAGCCAGTGATGAAGGTGCATCATTAGGCCAGTCATTTGCAGGCATCCCCAGGGTTCATTAGAAGTGGTGGCAATACCGCAAATCCATGCATTGGCAAATCCTTTATCTTATTTGATCTTGTATGGTTAACAAGCAACCAAACTACATTACATGATTGCAGACTTGCTACAAGTGCTGTTATTTGCTTAGTTCTTTCTTAAAGAATTCATGAAAGGTTATCTCAGATCAGCAAGATTAAAATTTAATTACATGCTCAAATTATGGAAGTACACCTCAATAGTTAAGTGGATAGACCAGCTACTGCATGATATCTGTTAGTAAGGTTTAGGAAAATATTTTGTACTTGACTTTCAGTGCAGAGTCTGGCAAAGTATTCTCTCTAAGTTATAGAAAAAACAATGTTTTCAGCATTTCACTAGCTAAATTGCTGCTTATGCTAACAAGGTAATGATGCATTCTTAAATTGATTAACCCTTGTGGTTGTTTTTGGTCACTCAATGTTTTTCATCATTTTGGTGGAACAAAATTTAATACATATAACAGGATTAACTGATCTTATTACAATGATTTAGGTTTTCATTTAATTCAGGAATTACTTGTACAGTATTACTGTAGAATAAGGAAGAGCCATGAAAGTATTACATGCTGCATCAGCTCAAGATAACTATCACCAGCCAGCATAACAGCCTCCTGCCTGGTGCTAAACCATGCCAGCAGAACCATGAGCACACCTGCTGGACAATGCCTGGGTGCCGAGGGCACCAGCGTGCCATGCTAACAGTCTGGTGCAATGCTAACAGGCCAGTGCCGGGCCGGGCTGGGCGGCGCGCGGACGGGGCACTGAGGGGCGGTGTGCGCCTTTCAGGAGCGCGCGCGGCGGTGATGGCGGCGGCGCCGGCGGACGGCCGGCTGCCGGACGAGCTGTGCCACGAGCTGCGCCGATGGTGCCGCGACCAGGGCCTGGTCGGCGAGCTGCGCGCCTTCTTGCGCCAGCGGCTGGTGGGCCTAGTGGGCGGCGGGTGCGCGGCGCCGGCCGACGCGCCGCCGCTGGCGCTGCTCGCCGCCGACCTGCTGCGTCACCTGGGACTGTGGTTCGCGCGCGCTGTGCTCACCTCGGAGGCGGGTCTGGCGCTGGCCGGGCCGCCCGACGCGCGCCTCTCAGCCGCAGAGGTGGCCCGCGTGGTGGCGGCCTGCGGCGGCGCCGCCGGCCGGCCCGTGTGTGACGATTACTGGGCGGGAGACGAGCCGCTGGTGACGGTGCTCTTGCGACGGCGCCGACCGGCCGCGCCGGCCGAGCCGACAGCGCCCGCTGAGCCGGCAGCGCCCGCTGACGGCGAGTGCCGCCAGGCCGGCAGCCTGGAGCTGGGCCTGCTGCAGTACCGGCGCCGCGCCGACCGGAAGGCCCAGGAGCGAGTGGCTCAAGAAGTCGACAGATTCAGGAAAGACGAGCTGAAGAAGATACAGAAACGCGAATACCAGCGATACAAGAGCAAGCTGGAAATGCTCCGTCAGGAGATGCAGGAGAAATACGAGATGGAGTTGGAATCAGCCAAGAGGCGGCTAGACGTGGAAAGAGATGGGCTTATTGCCGGCTTGGACTTGGAGAGGCAGCGTTTGGAGCAGTATAAGAACACCCTTCATACCCGAGATCGGAGCATCAAAGAGAAAGAACTTCTGTTGAATGATTCTCTTGCAAACCATTCGTTTCAAACACATCGTCTTTCTCCAGAGAAGGCAGCTTGCGACAAGATGTCGCAGACCGATTTTGCCGTCACTACCGCCAGTCAGACAGAACCTACTTTGCCACACCGCGCGAAATTGAACGTGACGTTCGACGCCGAAAACGGCGAGGAGCCGTTCCACTATCACTCCGTGGCGACACCACGTCGCCTTGTGATCCCTTCACACCTCGCCTCGCCGGACCGTCCGCCTAGCCGCCAGATTCAGCCCGACCGCCTCCGCGCCGCCGGGACAGACCTGCGGCCAGTGGCAGTGTCGGAACGGGAGGCGAGCCACAGCGGCGGTGACGCCGGCTGGGCCAGCATGCGGCCTCCCGCCGCCGCCAGGGAGCGGCTCATGGCGGAGCTGGAGCGGCGCGTGGCGCAGCTGGAGACCAGCCTATCGGCCAGTCGCTCCGGCTCGCAGGTCTCCTCTCCGGAGCGGCCGCGGGCGGCGGCGGCGGCAGCGGCCGGTCACATCGGGTCGCCTGAGCCGGCGGCTGTGTGCTGCGCAGGCCGCGCGCCCGCCCTGCTCGAAGAGAACACACGCTACCGCGTGGCACTGGAGCGGCAGCGCGTCGTGCTGGAGAGCCTGGCGGAGCGCTCGGCGGAGCTGGAAGTGCAGATGCGCGCGCTGCAGCTGGCGTCACAGCAGGCGCGCCTGCTGGAGAGCGGTGGCGCGGCCGAGCGACCGCTGGCCACCTGTCCGCACCCTCTAGCGCCGCCGCCGCCGCCGCCGGAGCCGGCGCCAGTGCCTGCTCCGGCGGCGGCGCCAGTGCCGCTGGTCGACACGGATAACCTGCTTGCCGACACCCGTGGCCGACTGGGCGCACTGTCGGCGCAGGCCGGCCGGCTGGCACGCCAGTTCCGTGCCTACCAGGCCGGCCGACAGCAGGAGGAGCTGGAGCGGGCGCTAGGCGGCGTGCGGCGCCAGCTGTTTGGCGGCGAAGAGCGCGTGACGCCGCCGTCGCCGCAGCCGCGGCCCACCACGCTCTCGCCGGCAGGTGTGGCGGCCGGCGGCAGGCCGGCCGGACACCCGCGCACCTGGTCCGAGCCGGCCGACCCTGGCGCCGCCGCCTCGCGCGACGCTCGGATCGAGGAGGTGCTCCGGCGGAGCCGCCTGGCGGCCGCGCTCAGTCCCGGGGCGGCCGAGAACCGGAGCGGCGGCGCGCTCACTGGCCAGGACCGGAAGCTCGGCGCGCCGGCCGGCCGGGACTGGTGGGTGGGCGCGCCGCTGGGTCGAGACCTTCAGTCGGCGGTCCGCTCTGCGCTGCCCGTCCGACCCGTCAGGGACGTGTCGGAGGCGCCGTCGCGCTCCGGCCGGCCGCCGGTGCCGGTCGGGAGTGCAGAGCGGTGGTCGAACGCGCTCGGCTCGTCCCAGAGCGCGCGTCCGGCGACGGATCGGGGCCGCCCGGCCGGATCGCGGCTCTTCAGCCTGCTCGCTCCGGACCCTGAGAGCGAGAGCGAAGCCACCTCGGCCCCACCCCGGCTGCCGCCGACCGCCCAGCACCAGACGGACGCGGCCGTTAGCTGGACAGGGCCGGGTGACCGTCGGGGAACGAACCCGGAGGTGACCGGGTCACCGGCGCAGGTGGCGAGCTGGCAGAGGCCGGCGGACAGACCGGTCTCATTTGACTCTGACAGGGCTGACGGACAGCTGGGAGTCCAGCTGGACTTGGACACGCAGTGGAAGAGCTCCGCGAAGCTGCAGGAGCGACGGGACCATGCAAGGGCAGAGGCAAGCGCGCGTGACGGTCCCGCGGCAACTGGGCAGGGTCAGGTTGAGGAGCAGCAGGCTCGCTCTGACGCGAGTCCACAGTTGGGGTTTTCTACCGGCGATGACAAGACTAACTCCCAGCCTCTGCCCACGGATCAAACATCGGAGCCAAACCCGGCCGTGGATCTGGGCTCGCACTGGAAACCCAGCGTAGATTTGGACTCGCAGTGGAGAAGTGGTGCGGGCCCTCTCCCGCCTGCAGGCGCGGAACCACAAGACAGCGTCGACGTCGATGGTGAGGCGGCTGGCACCGCCGAGCAGCAATGGCCGGGTGTGCAGCAGGAGCGGCCACCCGGTCCGGACAGCCCGGCGGACGCAGATGATACGGCGCGGTCCGCCGGTCCGTCTCCGGCTCCTCCGGCCGTCGACCTGGAGGCCCTGTGGAGACCGGCCGCTCAGCGGGCCGCGGCGTCGGCGGAGCAGGCGCCAGCCGCCGAACAGACACATACGGACGGTGACGTCAGTCGACGCCTGCCTGATGACGACAGACAACGGCAACGGGATGAGATCAGCAAGCCCCGGTCTCCCGATTATGACATCACACACGGTCGTTCTGCCGGCGACGTCGCCAGCCGCCGCTCACCCGATGATGACGTCATCAGCCGCCCCTCACCCGATGATGAGGTTATCAGTCGCCGCGCAGCCGATGATGAAGCTATCAGTCGGCGCTCACCCGATGATGACGTTGTCAGTCGCCGCTCACCCAATGATGACATCACCAATCGCCGCTCACCCGATGATGTCACCAGCCGCCGCTCACCGCCGGTGGTGACGCCGCTGCGGCCGTCCGGCGGCGGCGACAGCGGCTCGGCAGAGCGCAGCGGCGCGCTGCTCCGCTCGTCGCTGGGGTACGCGGTGGAGGCGGCCGGCGCCGGGGCGTTCCCGCTGCCGATGAGCGAGACGCCGCCGCCGGAGGAGACGGCCGGGTCCGGCGGCGCCTCGCCCCCGGCGGCGGCGCGATCCGGCTCGGCCGGCTCCGGTCGGCGGCGCTCGGAGGCCGGCTCGTCGGGGCCCGGCCGGTCGCCGTCCGAGTCCATCTCGGCGGCGATCGGTGCCGACTCCGGCGGCGACGATGACGACTTCTGGGGGTGAGCGGCCGCCGACAGTGCGCCGGCCGGCGGAGGAGACTGCGATCACGGAGGCGCGCTCGCCCTGAGCATGGAGAGCAACGAAAGCATCGTGATCTGGGTGAAGTGCTCGCTGATCTTGTGCATCAGCTGTTAATCGGTGATAACGGTGTTGTGCACACGGCCATGACGCCCGTTCGATCATGTGACAATACGTTTCAAGCATTGTTGTGTTGCGTGCTTTATGCCTTGCGCAGTTGGAAAACGTGTCCGTCCATGCCGACCACAGAGTTAATGAAATAGGCACATCTCCTTAGCACTGCTGTCTACAATGTTTCTTAGATGCAGCTCACCTAATGGATGCGACGTATTTACCTTTACCCGCTGTAGTAATTGTATGTACGAATTGGTGCTGTTTGTATACGAAGTTAATGTTCGACACATTCAATACAAGTTAGATTGCATTGTCTTTGTTTGATTTCTTTACCCCTCAAACACGAAAGACGATGGCAACTAGCACACAGGGAGCCGGTGTAACGCTATGACTGCTTGCGTAAAGTGATAACCTACTGTATAGGCAAATCGCTGTCTGCTTTGGTGTGCTGCCCCCGTTTTTTTATTCATCGTCGTTAATTTTATCGTCATTCACCATTTATCATTTCATCATTTCAAATAGCTGGTTTGTCGTGCGGTTTTATACTAACTGCACGACTTGCGCTCTGTGGACGTTATGTTGCAAAGTCAAACGGGATAATTTCAACAAGTCCATAGCCACCAAATTCATCTGAAACGTGCACCGTTGTGCTGCTTTTCCACGGGACACCGAATGCTTCCCTGGTTTTTGAGCGTCACGGATGGGCACAGAACATTCACTTTAATTCATTCCAGGCGTTCTGTCGACATATGCTTTTTGGCAAAAGTCGTTTTTATTGTTGAACGACTCGGACTGTTTGCCCCATCCATCTCTTCGTGTAGATAGCTGTTCATGCTCTACGACATACGCATCGCGTGTAGAATCGGTATCATTTTGACTGCAAGTGACAAGGCTCACACTTCGGGAGGATGGAGGGCTGAAGGGTGTCAGTTGTGGCCCGCTGTTGCCATATGGAGGGCGTCAGATGTGGCCTGCTGTTGCCAGGTGGAAGGCGTCAGACGTGGCCCGCTGTTGCCATGTGGAGGGCGTCAGATGTGGCCCGCTGTTGCCAGGTGGAGGGTGGCCGGACGGCGTCGGTCTCCTCAGCAGAAGATGCCTCGGCCGCTGTCGGCGGTGCCGAAGGCTTCCTCTGCCCCACCTGCATGAAGGGCTTCGCCACTCCGGAACAGCTGCAGCAACATGACCAGACGGCGCACATCGACCCCTGTACGTCCGGCTGACCGGCTGGCCGGGGGTCACGGCTGGCCGCCGCACAAATACGGTTTGGATTGGTCGTTGGGTGGTGGCGCCCGACCATGCGTCTTTAGTCGACCATTTGGAAGGCTCGGTACAATCTGAGGGAGCGGTCTGAAGGGTTGTTGGAAACGGTCAAACCTTAAGTTATGACGTTGAAATGACAATGTCGGCAGTGGCTTTCTGAAATTCACATACTGATGCTAATAGATTCGTCTTGCTCATGACTCGGATAGCTTTATGCTGGGTGGTTTCAAAGCTGTTTCGTCAGTGGATCACGGCGTGTCAGTTTATAGTTGCAGCCGTGTCGTAAAGGGCCCTCTCCGCTCGCCGTCGCGCCTGGCTGGCGCTGGCTGCGGCCGAACGAGCGCCACTGACCACGCCACGTGTGACCGCCGCAGCCGCCACCTACCTGTGCCCGGTCTGCAAGGCTCGGCTGACCTCGTCGGCGGAGCTGGAGCAGCACTTCGCCAGGAACCACCCGCCGCTGCCGCAGTCGGACGACGTCGAGGTGCTGCAGCACGAGCTGACCGATGTCAACACCACGCTGAGGGTGAGTCCGGCGCCGCGGCGCCCGGCGATAGACTGCCGGCGGCGGCCCCTAACATCCGCCGAGCGTTGCGATGGGCCTGTGGATCTCGCTAGTTGGCAGTCTAAGATTCTCTGAATTTAGCGCTCGTAATGGACTTCTGAGGTGGCCTTCGGGAGGCGGTTCGGCTGCAGCAGCGGGTGACAGCTTTGGGACCGTGCCGCCGCTGCCCCCAGGAGGAGCGCTGGTACAGTGAGGAGCTGAAGCGGGAGGTGGCCCGGCTGCAGCAGCTGGTGGAGGCGACACAGTCCGAGGAGACGATGTTGTACCAGGAGCAGATCAAGGCGCTGCAGGAGAGCAAGGTGAACGGGCGGCCGTCCGAGTCAGCCCCGCGGGCCGTGTGGGGTCGTACCCAGCCCCAGCACAGCTGCTGACGGGCTGCCGGGGGAGCACGGAGTAATGGCTTAAGTGGAGAGTTTTCCAACTGTCGAAGCTATAAAGATTTGATAATTCATGACACTCGATGACCCGTATATGATCTTCACTGCCTTCCCATGGTCCCTTCCTTTTCATTACCCGGATATAGTCTTATCTCCCATCCACCATCACCCCCCTCTCCCCCGGAGGTAGAGCGTTTTGTTCGCCACGGCCGGTGCCGCGTCAGCACTGTTGGCACGGTATCCCCGGCGATGAGTGCCGCCGCTGAGCCGCGCCGAGCCTGGAGCCCGCCTGTCGGCAGGCGCTGGTCACCTCCGAGGTGATGTTGCTGCGGAAGCAGCTGACGGAGGCGCTGGAGAGCAGTACAGCTCTGAAGCAGGACTACAAGACGCTGCAGGAGAAGGTGAAGGGAATAGAAGGAGAGCAGGAGGTCCGGGAATGGACGGCATTGCTTTGCTTAATTGTATAGATTTCACGCGCTGTGCCCCCAGTCATTACCACAAGGTGTTGTGAAGGCTCTGGAAAATCATATCTCCTGACCGAGGTTCGCAAAATGTGTATATTTTCAGTGTGTTCCGCGATCTATTATCGCTCTCCAACGTTGTCAGATTGCAAAGCATAATCGTTTGAGATGGGTGGTGGTTACGTAAAGCTCGTTGAGTGGATCGTTTGGATTTAGCCCCAAGTGGTTTGGGTGACGTTTCTTGATATGCTGGAGCTCTCAGCTTTATGTCGATGCTTGGTCTAGTTTTGCCTCATCAATGCATGCACGGTACAATGAATGTGTTTTGCACACATTTCTTTGTGTTGTTCCATTGCCGCCAGACACCAATTCTGCTGTATGTGCATTATATTGTATCATGGCTGTCTCACCTGCTGCGAACTCGTTGCTATCCTCACCGTCTTTGTCGTGACATGGTCCTACAGTCCCTGATTTGTCCCTGTGGACCGGTCATAGTGCACATTCCGTACCGTCCTTAGTCGTAAGTGATCCTCAAGTCTTTGGTCTAGTGGTGATCTGATGGCAGTTCTGAACTTGGCTTGGTCGTACACGTGACAGCACATGTACAACCAAGGCAAATCAGGTCCAAAACTTGACAAATCCAAGTCATCCAAGTCGGGGTCTCGAACGTCCAAGTTCCGTCCTGGTCACGGCGTCGGTCACGTCACGTTCGTAGTGACATGACGCTCTCGCCGTGGCCTGGTCTGATAGCACAGTCGCTGACCTGACCTGACCTGACCTTAGCTGCACCTTTTGACCTGTCGCCCGGCACGTCGGCAGGCCGGGAGCTACGCGGCCGAGAAGGCGGCGCTCAGCGCCGCCGCCGATGACGCCCAGGGCCGAGTCGACATGCTGGAGGCGCAGCTTCAGCTCAAGTAAGGCGCTCGGCACCCGCCACGCGGAGGTGCCCCATACGGCACGCTCCGTTGTCCTGGAGCCACTGTTTACGCCACGCTCTATGCTCTCATTTGCGCTGTGCCATACACAGGAACATGACCGGTGTTTTCATCGCATGAAAAAGTGCGTTTGTGTGTCGTAACGGTTTTTGATAATGGAGGGGGCGGGTTTGAGGTCTGTCTTGCGTCCGCTGGCTGCGGTGTGAGCTGCGCGGCGGCGTCTCCGCGCGTCCGCCGCGGGACCAGCCCTACCGCTGCACCGCCTGACGCCGCCCTGCTGCAGGAACAGCACCGACGACGCGGCCCTGCTGCGTCAGGAGCTGGTCCAGGTGCAGCAGCTGATGGACAGCGCGGCCCGGGAGCGCGAGGCCGAGCGGGACCGGCTGCAGCAGGAGCAGCGGGACCTGCAGGTCAGAGCCGGCCGCCGGCCGCCTCACTGACGGCCGGGCGCAGTGCACCGCGCCGGCTGCAGCAGCCGCGGGAGGCGGGCGCGCACAGCTGTTGGGTCGCACTGTGGTCCCTGCCCGGCTTAGAGCCGGTTTCAAGGGATGTGGAGAATCTCGCTCGTGTTCATCAGATTCTTTCTATGCAGAATTTCACTTCAACCATGTGGGTTTGTTTTCAGGAGAAATACAGTCAGCTGCAGACGGAGCGACAGGCACAGACGAGACAGATCCCCAGCATGGAGGAGGTGGAGCGGTGAGTGGCCTTAGTGGTTTGCCACCGACTCGGGTGTCGCTCAGCCATGTCGAGCGGCAGGCGGACCATCTTGCGACGACGACGATGCTAGAGCTGTGCACCAGTATCAGTTAAAGTGTGGGCCCAAGATTCATGCCGACCGTTTAAGCCAAGGGGTGATTTTTAGACTCAACGAAGTCGTCATGACAGTACGTCTTTTGTGTATTGCGTCGCGAATCGTTCAAATTTAAGTGGAAGCACCTTTAAGATTTTCGCATGACTTATCATGTGAAATATTGAATGCATTTACACATGTTACATGAGCAACATTGAGGCACTGTGTCTCCGTCGCATACCTGGCTGTACAGCACCTTAGTCCGCCTCGCCGCAACGTGCGTGGCCCGCTGCCAGGCTGACATCGCAGCTGAAGCTGAAGAGTGAGACGCTGCAGTCGCGGCTGGACCAGACGATGAGCTCCCTGGACGCCGCCACGGACCAGCTGAGCAGCTGCCAGACCCAGCTGACAGACACAGAGCGGCAGCGGCACCAGCTGGAGACGGAGGTGACGTCACGGGCCCACCCGCGGGACGCGCCGTCAGCAGGGTGACGCTCGGCTGGGGCGAGGGGTCACCGACATGTCGGTCGCGTCATGACGTCACCGTACCGAGGAGGGGTGACGTCACGGGTGGGTCTGCAGGGCATATAAGGCGGGGCCAAGAACGACGCCATCGAGTGGAGGGAGAAATGACGTCATAGCCTGTTGATACACCTCATCAGACGGGCGTGGGGAAGGTGTCGTGTTGTGGACGTAAATAGGTGACCTTGGTTATGTCGGGCAGTGGAGACGATGGATGACGGCGGGCACGTCCCAGGCGTCTGACGAGCTGGCCAGTGTTCCGTGCTTGCCTGCCGTTCGTCACCAGTACCACAGCCGAACCCGCCCCGTCCTCTGCCCTCTGCGGATGCGGCGGGCCGGCGGCCCTCCGCCTGAGCCGTCACGCCGGTGTGCCGTGTTCCAGCTGCGGTCGGCGCGAGACGCGGCTGGCTCGCTGGAGTCGGAGCTGGCGGCGGCGCGCGCCGAGACTCTCCAGCTGCGCGAGGAGGCCGGCGCCGCCCGCTCGGACGCCGACGGCCGCCAGGGCAGGCTCCAGGTGAGGTTCGGCTGGCGGGTCGGTCTGCTGGGGTCGAGGGTCGGCCGACGGGTTGGTCTGTTGGGTCGAGGGTCGGTCGGTGGGGCGATCTGCTGGGTCGGGGGTTGGCCGGCTGGTCGAGAACACGCATTTGCTTATGCGTCGTGCAATGCTTTACAACATATCAGCGTCGAGTTTCGTAAAGTGACTTCTGTACATCGCCGGTGCTATTCTGTTGGAAGTTCCTCAGTTGTCCGTGTATTCTCAGTAATGCTATGTCAGTGTCAGCATGTGAGTACGAGTGGGTCTGCAGGCCGACCGACCGATGATCACCTGCATTATTTGGAGTGAAGGTTTCGCACAACCTTGAAAACGCTTTCTGACCAAATGACACGGAATATGGCGGGGTTTATATTCCTAGTCCAGTACAGCTAATCGTATCGCCGGTTAGGGCACAAAACCCAACACAACTCCCTCCTGGCGCCCATCTAGGTAGAAGTGAGAGTCGGAGTCGGACCCCCGTGTGATGCTCTGACTCGCCCCGCGTCACTCCCGACGCGAGAGCTGGTGTCGGAGTCAGACCCCTGTGTGATGTTCTGGCTCTTCCACGTCACTCCCGGCGCAGGAGCTGGAGTCGGAGTCGGACCCCGTGTGATGCTCTGACTCGCCCGCGTCACTCCCGGCGCAGGAGCTGGAGTCGGAGTCGGACCCGTGTGTGATGCTCTGACTCGCCCGCGTCACTCCCGGCGCAGGAGCTGGAGTCGGAGTCGGACCCGTGTGTGATGCTCTGACTCCCCCGCGTCATTCCCGGCGCAGGAGCTGGAGTCGGAGTCGGACCCCTGTGTGATGCTCTGACTTTCCCGCGTCACTTCCGGCGCAGGAACTGGAGTCGGAGTCGGACCCCTGTGTGATGCTCTAACTCTCCCGCGTCACCCCCGGCGCAGAAGCTGGAGTCGGAGTCGGACCCCTGTGTGATGCTCTGACTCTCCAGACCCCTTGTGATGCCCTAACTCTTCCACGTCACTCCCGGCGCAGGAGCTGGAGTCAGAGTCGGAGCACCTGCGCTCCCAGCTGGACACGCTGCGCGGCCAGCAGCGGGACACGGCCGGCAGCCTGGACGAGCTCCGGACGGCGCTGCGTGACAAGGACGAGCGGCTGCAGGAGGCCACGCGCCAGCTGGACAACAGGTGGGCGTCCAGCCGGCGCCGAGGGGCGGCCGCCGGCCGAGCACCGGTAGCGGACGGTCGGAGCCATGCCCGTGTGTCAGGTGTGGCGTGGGGTTCGGTTGACAGGTTGGGGGAGCAGTCACGTATCTCCGCAGGGGAGCTTGGCGGCCATGCAGGGCATTGTGGCTCAAATGCAGGGTGTTTGTAGCCGTCCAGAGCCTGAGCGCGCGCCGAATATGATGATTTGCAATAGCGGATTATTTACTGATTGAATGCTGAATGCAACTGGGCTGAATATAATATTACCCTGGACATCGGCTATACGTTCCGCTTTTGAATTCTGGGTGATGTAAAACGCAACGCAAAACAGGGCTCTCCGCTAGGCACGCCCTTGGGTTCCAAGATCTCGATTTTGGGGCCCATGACCTTGCATTGTTTGATCGGTGATGATAAGAACATCAGAAGTAGCATGTTTGTTCGAGTTATCGATGATGATTGGGTTGCGTTTATATCATATTAATGATTTTGGTTTCGAGTATGCGTGTTTTTATTTTTTAATTTATTTCTGTTTATGGTTGTAATTTGTTTCGACATCGAAAGTATCGTTTTCGGATATTGTTTGGTAGAATCGTGCGCAGTGGAAACCGTAACCGTTTCGAGTGCTGGCATACGTGTAGTGCACTATGACCACCTGGGTTTTCCGGGATACAAGAACTTAGCGCGTCGTCCTGCCCGTTCCCCGCCGGAGCGATGCTAAGATGGCGGCGGTGCGGTCAGAGCCGTCTCCATGAACAAAAGTGCACGATTGCTCCTTTGCATCGTGCTCATTTTCTCATCTGTCTACATTCACCGCGCCGCTCCGGCGCCTTCCCGTAGTTTGTTCCGCTGCCCCTGCGCTGCCTCCCGGGGAGAGTGGTCTGAGCCTTGGCCGCCGCCGCAGGGACGGCAAGCTAACGGCGGCGCAGGCGGAGGTGGCGGCCGCGCAAGCCGAGGTGGCGCGGCTCGAGGGGGAGCGGACGGAGCTGCGCTCCCAGATCGAGGCCGGCGATGGCGCGGCGGCCACCGCCCTCCGCCAGCTGGAGCAGCAGAACGTGAGAGAGCCGCCCGGCCGACCCGGGCACGGCGGCCGGTCCCCGGCGGACGGGCGTGTGTGTGCGGTCTGACGCCAGACCTCTCGATGCTGGCGTGATGGGTCGCTCGCACACTGCAGCCGCTCACTCACTGACGGCTTCTTGGACGGGTACAGAACGATGAGTTTGTCGTGGCAGTGACGAGCAGAAGACAGTGAACGACCCCTCTCTTTCAGCTTGCTCCTCTCTCACCGATCGACATTCGCGCCACCGGCGTCAGCCCACAGTCTGTGTCCCTGTCGCCGTCACGGTGTATATGTGTTTCTCCCCGCCGGCGTGTGTGTCACGGCCGCTGCTGACCGCCTGTCCGCCCCCAGGCCAGCCTGCAGCAGGCGGTGAGCCAGCAGCGCCAGCAGCTGGGCCAGCAGGCGGACGAGCTGGCGGCCCGGCTGGAGGCCGTGCACCAGCAGCTGACCAAGGCGCAGGGCGACCTGCAGGAGCGGCGCCAGGCGGCTGACAGGCTGCAGGCTGAACTGACGGCCGCCCAGGACCGGCTGGTGACGGCCGACACCGGACTGAAGGAGGCGGAGCGGCGGCTTCGCGAGAAGGTGCGGCCGACGCTGCCTCGCCGCTGCCAGCCACGGGCGCCATTGGTGTTGAGGCACTGCTTCGGGGAGAGGGGGGAGGGGGCGGGCACTGACCCTGGAGATACCGCGGGAGCTCAGGGGGCGTACCAATGCGGAGGCGCCGCCAGGGTCACGAAGTGTACCGACTGCCTGGGGCACTGCTGGAACTCAGAGTACCTGGCACTGGGCACTGTGCCTAATGGACGCACAATGTAAAATGTATTTTGCGCGCTTCCATGCGCGTGGGGCATTATTTAGTCGTGTGTCCGTCGGTGTTCGCCGTCCTATTGGACGACCCGTTAATTCCCGCACCAGCGCTGCCTATCGCGGTGTGTGCCGTTTTGCGAGTGGCCGTCGCCCGGCCTCACCGCCCGGTCACCCTCGGCGACAGACGGACGAGTGCTCGCGGCTGGAGGCGGCGGCGACGGCGGCGCGGGACGCGCAGGAGCGGCGCGGCCAGCAGCTGACATCGGAGCTGCAGGCGGCGCGTGACCAGCGCTCTGAGCTGGACCAGCGGCTGGGCCAGCTGAACGCTACGCTGGCCGAGCAGACGCAGCGAGCACAGACGCTGGGCGCCGACCTGCAGCGGAAGGTGACGCTCGACCCGACCCTGCGCCGACCTGACACCCTGGGCGGGCTGGCGCCCAGAGAGCCGACCTCGACCCCGACCCGACCCTGCGCCGACCTGACACCCTGGGCGGGCTGGCGCACAGAGAGCCGACCTCGACCCCGACCCGACCCTGCGCCGACCTGACACCCTGGGCGGGCTGGCGCCCAGAGAGCCGACCTCGACCCCGACCCGAGCCTGCGGTGATCTTACTGATGCCCAGACCCGACTGAGACACCCTGATCCGGAGCTTGACCTCGAACCCGGCCCCGACCCCGGCCCGAGCTGTACCCCGTCCCCGAGCTCTATACCGACCGAGTTCTACGCCGACCCGACCCGACCCGCCCACGGCTCGACCTCGACCCGACCCGACCACGGCTCGACCTCGACTCGACCTCGACCCCGATCCGACACCGACCTCGACCCTGATCCGACGCAACCTCGACCCCGATCTGACCCCGACCTCGGGCCGATCAGACACCGATCTTGACCCTGATCCGACGCAACCTCGACCCCGATCAGACACCGACCTCGACCCCGACTGCGACCTCGATCCGACACCGACCTCGACCCCTATCCGACCCCGACCGCGACCTCGATACGACCTGACCGCGACCTCGATCCGACCCGACCGCGACCTCGATCCGACCCGACCGCGACCTCGATCCGACCCCGACGCCTAGAGCCTGACTCAAACCTGGACACCAATACCCAAGCGGGCTCCAACAACAACCCCAATCCAACCTCGACAATTGAGCCCCCTTCCCCCGCTCCCCATCCACACGACTCAAACCCCGACCCCGTCTCGAGACCTGCTCCAAGACTGGCACGTTCATGGTGTTGCCGTGGTCGGCGTGTACGAATGAGCGGGGCTCATTTACACGCTTTAGAGTTTTGGGGTTTCGCCTCTTGGCTAAGACTGAAGTTATGATGTTCATGGCTGGAATGAATCACATTCTGATTTGGAGTCGGGATGAGCCTGCGCGACGGACTGCCTTCCATATGTTATACCCTGCTACGTACCCTGCGTCCGCTATTCTGATGGCCGACAGTAGCGTGCTTGTCTTGAGCATGCCTCATTAACTACCGGGCGCATGCTCGTGTGGCCATGGAGGCCACCAGTTACCTACCTCCGCCCGGAAGTACGCTGCCTAGCGTGAGCTGACCCCAGCTTAATCTACAGAGCTCCGAGCTGGAGGCGGCCGGTCTGTCGCTCGTCGATCTGCAGACGCAGCTGTCGAACGCCAACAACCGTCTGTCAAGCGCGGAGTGCTCGCTGCAGGAGCGCGACGCCGCGCTCCAGGACGGCCGAGAACAGCTGGCCGCCGCCGCCGCCGAGCGGCAGGTGCTGCGCGACGCGCAGGCGGCGCTGCGCCTGGAGGCGGACCAGCTGCGCGCCGCGCGCGACGAGCGCGCCGGGGAGGCGCAGCGGCTGGCGGCGGCGCACGAGCGCGCCGAGGAGCGCGCGCAGCGGGCCGAGCGCGAGCTGGCCGAGAAGGGGCGCCAGTGCGACAGCCTGACGGTGGAGGTCAACGAAAAGTCGCAGGTGCGTTGGCTGAAGAAGATGCTGGGGCCGCGTGGAGGGAGGGGGGGGGGGGGGGGGAGGACGCGGAGATCACGGAGTCGCGCTGTGCAGCGCTGTCATCACTTCTCATCGCTGACCTCATGCGTGTTTGCGACATATTGGTTTGGAACGTCTGGGGCTTATCATGGTGTGCGCAGTATTCATAGTCACCGTGGAGGTTGTATCGTCGATTGGACGTTGTGGATGGGACGGTGTGTCCGGCCCTTGTTTGATCACTTTTGGTCTCGCTCACCGCGCCGCTGACCGCCGCCTGCCGCCGGCCGCCCGCCCTCAGCTGGCCACGGCGCTGGAGCAGCAGCTTCGCTCCGAGCAGACACAGCTCGCTGAGCTGGGCGGGCGGCTGCGCGGTGCCGTCGAGCAGCGCGAGCGCCAGGCCGCCCAGCTGGAGACCCTGCAGGAGGCGCGCGACCGCCTCGAGGGCGAGAAGCTCGAGGCGGAGAGCGCGCTGGCGCGGCTGCGCGAGCAATCCAAGACGGAGCTGGCTGAGCGGGAGAAGGTACGATCGGACGGGGCCCGGACGCTGGCGGCGGGCTGCGGGCCGGCCGCCGCTCTCAGCCGCAGGTCGATAGCATGCCAGGGGTCTGCATGACCCAGTACTGTACAAGCGCTATGTCGTGGCCGGCTAGCCCGTATCACCACATTCGATGATGTTCAGTTGGCTTGAGTTGGCTCCAAGCGGCTCTGACATCACGCTCGCGCCGACTGCCGGGAGTGAGGCGTCCCCGGGACGCCCACTGCCATGTGGCTGACCGTCGGCCGGCGCCGCGCGACAGGAGCTGGCGGCGGCGCGCGCCGGCGCCGAGGACGCGGCCCGGGACGTCAGCCGACTGCGGGAGGAAGCGCGCGCCGCGGCTGAGACGGCCGAGCGGCGGGACGCCCAGCTGGCCGAGCGCAGCGCCGCCTGGGAGACGGAGCGGGCCCAGCTCCAGACCGAGGCCACCCAGCTGCGCACGAAACTGGTCAGTGCGGCGCGTCCGGGCCGAGGAAATGTACAAATAGCGAGGGCATGTGTGCCCGATGCCGGTGATGCGGCATAAGTAACCAGGGCTTTCTAGCATCCGGCAGTCACCGGCTAACACCGTGAACACCGTAATGCGCTCTTGGTTAACAGTTCTTCACTGTCGGTGTCGGTGCAGCTTTTCCATATTAGCGCCATCTCAACTTCTTCCCTGCATTCGTTTTCTCTGTATGCATACAGATATCGCATGATACAGATACCATGCAGACACCATGTCGTGTGAGCACACCCCACTATGTGGTGGCCGTGTATCTGTGGGCGTGGCCGCCTGACGCCGGACCGCTCTGTGCCCGGCAGGAGGGCGCTGAGTCTTCGCTCTCGGGGACGCGTCAGGAGCTGCAGCAGCTGTTGGCGCGCTCCGAGCTGCAGCTGGAGACGCTGCAGGAGAGCCTGGGCTCGCTGCGCGCCGAGCTGCAGCAGCAGACGGCCGTCAACGGCGAGCTGCAGAAGCGGCTGGACGAGATCCTCGGCGAGAAGCTCGGTGGGCGCCGTGTCCTGTATCCTGGCCGCTCTTCTGGGCTGGGCTCCGACCACCCTTCTGAGCACAGCTTCGGCCGTCCTTCCGTGTTCGGCTCCGGCTGCCCTCTTGGGTTAGGCTCCGGCCGCCCTTCTATGACCGGAGCTTCTAGTGGCCACGCTTCTGGGGTCGGCTTATCCATGCTCGCGCCCCTGACTTACGTGCGTGGGACCGAGTGCGTCGTAAGGCCCCAGTAGAAACAACGCTCAGGAGAGGCGCCCAGACATGGGGGTTGTGCGGCGCTGGAATCACTGACGTTACTTGGCTGGAGTGGCCTCTGACCCGAGATGTCTCCGCAGAGCTGGAGTTGCCTCTGACCTGAAATGTCTCCGCAGAGCTGGAGTTGCCTCTGACCCGGGCTGTCTGTGCAAAGCTGGAGGTGCCTCTGACCCGAGATGTCTGCAGAGCTGGAGTTGCCTCTGACCAGGGATGTATCCGCAGAGCTGGAGTTGCCTCGGACCCGAGATGTCTCCGCAGAGCTGAGGTTGCTTCTGACCCGAGCTGTCCCTGCAGAGCTGGAGTTGCCTCTGACCCGAGATGTCTCCGCAGAACTGGAGGTACCTCTGACCCGAGCTGTCCCTGCAGAGCTGGAGTTGCCTCTGACCCGAGATGTCTCCGTAGAGCTGGAGTTACCTCTGACCCGAGATGTCTCCGCAGAGCTGGACTTGCCTCTGACCCGAGATGTCTCCGCAGAGCTGGAGTTGCCTCTGACCCGGGCTGTCTGTGCAGAGCTGGAGTTGCCTCCAACCCGAGATGTCTCCGCAGAGCTGGAGGTGCCCCTGACCTGAGATGCCCCCGCAGAGCTGGAGGTGCCTCTGGCCCGAGACGTCTCCGCAGAGCTGGAGGTGCCTCTGGCCCAAGACGTCTCCGCAGAGCTGGAGTTGCCTCTGACCCGATATGTCTCCTCAGAGCTGGAGTTACCTCCGACCCGAGATGTCTCCGCAGAGCTGGAGTTGCCTCTGACCCGAGATGTCTCCTCGGAGCTGGAGTTGCCTCTGACCCGAGCTGTCTGTGCAGAGCTGGATGCGCAGGTGAGCACGGCCGAGGATGAGCGGCGCGCGCTGGTGGAGCGCTGCCTGGACTCGGAGCGCGACCTGGAGCGCCAGAAGACCGGCGGCGTCGAGCTGCGCCGCAAGCTGGACGACACGACGGCCGCGCTCCAGGAGCTGGCCAGGGAGAATCAGATGCTGCAGGTCAGTTGGCGGTGCGGCGGCGCCGGGCGGTGTGCCGGCGCTGTCAGACCGTGGCGCGTCTCCACTACAGCCCGGGCGGCACAGCGGGGTCACGCCGGCTTCACGCAGTCGACACAGGACTGTGCCAGCGGCGCTACATGGGCGGCACACCAGCGGCGCTGCGGCGGCATCGCATGGTGTCACATCTCTGGCACGCTGGCAGCCCAAGTCACTGGACCACGGACGTTAGGTGTCATATACAACGGCGGGATTATCGGGAGATTAATCATATGAGATGTCAGACGAAATGGGACCGGCGGCTGGGTCTCAGAAGACATCGCCACGCACCAGTGCACCCTGCGGGAGTCCTCGTGATACGCACATGGTGGGTCATGACTTGGTTGGTCCGTCCAAGTTTCTTCACCGCAGCATGCGCAGCTGAATGCGAGCCTGATGGGAAGTCAGGCGGCCTCCCGGTGATAGAAACGCCAGCCTCGTCAAATGGGAAATATTTTGTGAAGTCTCGTGGCGCGCTGATGGTGTGTTCCACGAAATTAAAGTGGCTTTACAAACTACTTTGCCCTGATTATGCTGGGTGTCGAAAAGGGCGGTTAGTCTGGCAGCGCTATTAGAGCTTTGGTCTGGCATTACCGTTACACGGCGCTGTGATATGCATGGCCAGGGTCACGTTGTTTGCCCTTCTGAGTCGCTACTCTTCGATCGCGGGTATGTTGTGCTGACCGCGGTCGCTCGATGCCGTCCCATGCCGCTGGTGACCGCGCGCTGGACCGGTGGTGGACGAGGGGCGCGTGTGGGGACGGCCGGGGCCGCCACTTCGCGGGCCGCGAGGTGGCGGCTCACCGCGCCAACTCTGGCGGTACGACGGTGGAGGACCAATGTCGCCTCGCCTTCGGTGCCGTTTCCACCCCTGCAGCGGCCTGGAGCGCCGTCTTGGTGCAGTGTCGTCAGCCGGTCCCTGGCGGGCGGATGCGGTTGGCTCAGGTGACGCTGCGGCCTTTCTGTTGGAAAGGAAATGATCTGGTGCTTTGCATTTTTCACCGAAGACATCACTTTGAAAAAAGGCTTCTGAGTCGGGTCAGTGCTATAACACTACGCGGTGGCTTCAGAAATCGATCAAGGTCCTGCGTGTCCTGCCGGTAGTCCCCGCCCAAGCCTGCTGCTAAGAGCAGCGTGTAATATGGCCCCACCGGGCAGACGATGGTGGCGGCGTCTCATGGTACTCCACCAGAGCCGTCTGCGGCGGTGGCGCGCGGCCGTGCCCAGCTGAGTGGTGCTATTTGCCGCATGGTAGGCGTCCCCGCCGCCGCTCAGACCCGAGGAGCGATTAGCCTTCTAACCTGTTCAGATCCGGCCGCGTTCTGGGAATGCCTATTGTTCTGTTGTCCTGTCTGAGCAAACATGCTTTGCTCCCCGGCTCGTGACGCCCTGTCGGAGCAGCCACTGTGATTTACCAATAACTGGTGCTTACCTGACAGCCCATCAGGCTCACTTCGTAGTACGTGTTGGAGTTTCTCAACGATTTTTTTGTTCAAGGTTATGATATTTTTCGTCTCGATTTCATTGTGCTTTGATTTGTGCTACTCTGTGAAGTAAAATGGTGGTAATATCAACGTAACATGAATCTTAGTGAGCACTCACATTTTTATCACCAGGAACTGTCCTAGATTAGCTGCATTAGGGCTGCCAAGGACTTGTCCCAAGGCAACTAATCTAAGGACTTGTATTGGTTCTGTCGTGACATCACAAATCATCGCGTAAGCGTGTGTTGCAAATCGACGTTTTGAACCGTTTTGGCACCTTTGTCTTCCCGGAACTACAAAACCGCACTAAATTCCGACCACATCACGGGAATTAACTGGGCACTGTTCTCTCTCACGCACTCCCCGGTAGCACCTGAGCTGAGCAATGTTCCCTCTCACGCACTCCCCGGTAGCACCTGAGCTGAGCAATGTTCTCTCTCACGTGTTCCCAGCAGCAGCTCGGTAGGTGAGCGGGGGCAAAATATGATGCCCCAAGTCATGCCTTCCACCGCCCGGGCGTCCGCCAGAGTGCGCTCAGGCACCGTCGTGCAGGTCAGCCGATGGACCGTCCCCCGTAAGGATCGTGACGACCAAATGCCGCAGCGAACCTCTTCCCTGGCCGAGGATCATGGCGACCAAATCCCGCACTCTTCCCTCTTCTCTCTTCGACTCTTCCCAGGCTGGGACCGACCGCGCTCCCGGCCTAAGCTTGCCCCGTGGTCAGGCTTTCCTTCTTATCGTCTACTATCCGTGTGTTGAGTACAAGCTGCTCGAAGTCGGAGGCCGACAACGTGTCCTTTCATGGGTACACAGCGGTGTTCCACCGCTACACAGGAGCCCATCTCGGCCCGCCTTCTCATTCACGGGGGTGACTGCGAGTCGGATCAGCTCGGCTGGGTGGCCCTCCTGGCGTTGGTCCACCGCGTTTGGGGCAGACCAGCGAGCCTCGGACCGGACCGTCGGCGCGCCCTGAAGCCCAGATCATGATCAGCCGGCTCGGGAGTCGACGGCTGGTTGCCCTGTGTCCCCCGGCACGGCGCGGCCATCCCGCTGGCGACACTGAGGCCGAGCGGTCGGGCTTCCATTTTGAGCCGCTGTGCTGGGCAGGACCGCGCCAAACGATTGTGTGTATTCTCGAGATGTAAGCACAGAGCTGGGTGCGAAATGACCATTAAAGGCGGCGCCCCCAAAACACCAATAAATAACAAGCGCAGAGTAAATAGTTGAATGCACATATTTTTTCTCAAAAGATGTTCAAAGAGGCTTCTGCAAGGTTTTCTTTCATATTTTACCCGTGGTCGGAGGAAGACTGACTGGGTAGTTCCCCCCCCCCTCTCCCCGCCCTCGCTCTCTGAGGATAGATATCGACGCTCTTTGGACCCCTCCGGCTTAAGCGTACGTTAAATTGCGTTAAATCAAATGGCCGCCTCTCCATAGCGCTGCAGGGGGAGGTATTAACTACATTGGATCATCCTCGCCCACATTTTGTTCATTCTCAACATATACATTTGCACTTGATATGAGCAAGAAAGGAAGGCATTCAGGTCCTGATTGAAGCCATCGCGAGTCCTTATGTTGAAAATAATCCACGTTCAGTATTCCCGGAGGAACTGGTTAGCCGACGCTGTCTAGAAGCATTGATGTATACATCAGGGCCATACCAGAACACCAGAGTGATATCATACCAGAAGAACAGAGGATAGTACCACACCAGAACACCAGAGGGTGATACCACACGATAACAACAGAGGGCAATGTCACATCAGAACAACAGAGGGTGATATCACACGAGAACAACGGAAGGTCATACCAGACCAGGGCACGAGGGCCGGCCGTTTTCAACGTAAGAGCTCATAATATATCCAGAGTTTCGCATCACGCTTGCAGATATATCGCGTGATGTTCGGATGAGTCTTTGGCCCGTTTGGCCAGATAAGTGTAGAGTTGGTACGGAAGGGATGATGGCTGACTGTTGACTGGGGGCAACTTGACATTGCACGGCACTGCATGGGTCAGCCTGAGAAACTCAGGCTGAGTCTCAGAACACAATACATTTCGAACGCCGGTAAAACCTTGCCTACACTGGGGTGCCTCTGCATTTCAGAGTTTTTTGTCGGAGGTGGTGCGTCGTAGTGAATAATTTCCGAACGCATGCATGAGCTTCTCGTAAGCTAACTTAAAGTGTGATTGGGCTTGACCAGGCTTATCCGCCGTGCGGGCAGATCGAGGCCAAGGAATGACTGTTGGTGGAGGGCATACGAATCGGCGATGCGGTGTGTGCTAAATCGCTCGATTTAATGCCTGTGGACGATTGAGTCCAAACTGTTCTCGTCATATAAAACTGACCGGTATTCACATCTCACTAGAACAAGCTGATAGCCTGAAAACCAGGCGCCACCCAGTCAGTATTACGGTACCCAGTTGTATTTTATGAAACGCCGCCATGTTTTCTCTTTGTTTTGCTCCGGAAACACACCGATTTGCGTTCGGCCGAGCGCCGCGTTTTATTTCCGTCGTGGGCCGGCTGGAGCGCAGGGTCGGAGTAGTGACACACACTCTTCACGGACCAGCGTGTGAGAGGAATGCAGAGGGGTGGGGGGGGGGGGGGGGGGTAGTTGGCGCCCGGGGAGATTGGCATGGTCCGCCTCTGATGTAATGGTGGGACGGGGGATTAGCATGGTCCGCCGCTGATGTAATGGTGGGAGGGGGGATTAGTATGGTCCGCCGCTGATGTAATGGTGGGACGGGGGATTAGCCTGGTCCGCCTCTGATGTAATGGTGGGACGGGGAGGTTGGCATGGTCCGCCGCTGATGCAGTGGTGGGACGGGGGATTAGCATGGTCCGCCGCTGATGTAATGGTGGGACGGGGAAGTGGCATGGTCCGCCGCTGATGTAATGGTGGGACGGGGGAGTAGCATGGTCTGTCGCTGATGTAATGGTGGGACGGGAGATTAGTATGGTCCGCCGCTGATGCAATGGTGGGACGGGGGATTAGCATGGTCCGCCGCTGATGTAATGGTGGGACGGGGGATCAACATGGTCCACCACTGTCCATGATGGTCTCCCTAGCAACTGGACTGATCGTGATACAACAAGAGGCAACTGGATCAATGCAGGCGTTAGCTGTGATTGGTGCACTTGCGAGATCCAATAATTGTATGTAGATGATGCTCATGTGCCAGTAATACAAAGGCGTAAACACATATATCTATCAAAAGCGTATCAGCGTGAATCGGAGACGTGTGGACAATTGGGGTTGGGGCATCAAGTATCTGTTTATGTGCAAATTATTCAGTCTGTAAACCCGTTCACACTGCTGTGTTTGAGTCAGCGCTTGATAGGTGGCGAGCGTGGCGCTGAGGGGCAGCGTCAGGTACAGAACAGCACCCGTACCTGCCAGTGTGCATCGCCGTTCGTGGTGCCGGAAGGCAGGAGTGGCGCTGAGGGGCGGCGTCAGTTACAGAACAACACCCGCACTG